GGGCCGGGTGGCCGGGGTCCCGGGCCCCGCGGCGGCGGCAGCGGCGGCGGCGGCAGGATGATCAAGCTGTTCTCGCTGAAGCAGCAGAAGAAGGAGGAGGAGTCGGCGGGCGGCACCAAGGGCAGCAGCAAGAAGGCGTCGGCGGCACAGCTGCGGATCCAGAAGGGTAGGGGGTCGGGGGATGGGGGCCGAGGGCCGGAGGTCAGGGCCTGTGGTAGGGTGATGAGGTCGCCGAGGGTGAGAGATGGGGGGACATGAGTGTAAAGAATAGGACGTCAGGGCTTGAGGTTTGGGGTAATGGGGGAATCAGGGATAGTCACTGGGGGAGTCAAAGATGGGAGCCTGGTATGGGGGTTTTAGGATATTCGAAAGGCCTGGCATCTGGTATTAGGGACCCGGAATTTGAGGGTCAGGCGATGGAGGGGGGTGGGGACTCGAGAGTCTGGGAGTCAGACAGGAACCTCGGTTTGGGGTGACAGACGAAGAAAAGAGGGATAGCGGTGGCCAGAGATTGGGGATATGAGTGGAAGAAGATTTAGTGAGTTATGCTACGGTCGCTGGGAATCTCAGAGTCAGAGGGCTGGACTAGGTGAGGGGGCCCGGGACTCATGGGTCTGAGGGTCAGACTGCAGTCTGGGGATTTGGGGCAACAGGTGGAGAAGGGAGGGAGAGTGGGTGCCAGGAATTGGAAGTAGGTGTGAAGGAGAATTTAAGCTATGGTGTTGAGAATCTCAGAGTCAGAGGGAGTGGGGTGGGGGTAGAGCCCAGGGACTTGAGAGTGTGGGGATCAGATGGGATCTTGGATTTGGGAGACAGGCAAAGAAGAGAGACAGTGGGAACTAGGGGTTGGTGTGAGTGAGACAGTGTATGGGGCATAGGGTCCTTTAGTTTGCCTGGACAGGTAGATACTGGAAAGTGGAGGTCATGGCTGGGGAGCCTGGGGTTTGGGATGGTCAGAGGCTGGGCCAGGGGCTTGGGGGTGGGGGCACCTGGGAGCTGGGGGACACAGCCACAATTGAAGATGCATGTTTGGAGTGTGCTATGGATCCAAAAGCGCCTTCCTATAGACTGGGGAGGGAAGAGGGTTGGAGGTGTGGAGCACAGCCCAGAACAGAGTTCCAGGGGTCCTAGAGGAAGCTATGGGGGCTCTGCTGACACCACCACCCCCACTTGAATTCCTCTCCTTCTTTCTGTCTCCTTTCTCTGCTGTCCAATCACAGACATAAACGAGCTGAACCTGCCCAAGACCTGTGACATCAGCTTCTCAGACCCGGACGACCTCCTCAACTTCAAGCTGGTCATCTGTCCTGATGAGGTGAAGGCCCACATGTTTGAACTCCCAGGAGCAAACCAAGGGTGGCCCCACCAGGGGGAGGGAGTCCTGTTCTTCACATCAGGCCCCGAAGGAAAGGGTCTTAACACCTTCTTATCTCTCCCTCCCTTCCCAGGGCTTCTACAAGAGTGGGAAGTTTGTGTTCAGTTTTAAGGTGAGTTCCAAGCAGGCAGGGGTGGCTCCCTGGACTGAGGAGCCAGCAGCTGAGGCCCTGCCAGACACGTGTCCACCTCCCCTCTCTTTTTCTGGAGTCAGGTGGGCCAGGGTTACCCGCATGACCCCCCCAAGGTGAAGTGTGAGACGATGGTCTATCACCCCAACATTGACCTCGAGGGCAACGTCTGCCTCAACATCCTCAGGTGAGGGCACTGGCTCTCCATTGCCCTTTACAGCCCTGCCTGTTCAGTCCTCTTTATGGATACTGCATCAGTCTCTGTCCCTTCCCTCCCCCTGGTGGTCTGTGTCCCTTCATTTTCAAGTCACCTGCCTCATGGCCTGACCTTGGCTTTGTTTCTGGCCTTCTCCATGCCTACCCCCACTGTCCCGTGCCCTGGGCCTGACCTGTACAGTACCAGCAAGGTCTGTGGCAGCCTTTCACTCACAAGTCCCTGACCCTGATGCTCTTTGCCCACAGAGAGGACTGGAAGCCAGTCCTTACGATAAACTCCATAATTTATGGCTTGCAGTATCTCTTCTTGGTGAGTAGGGGTGAGTAGTTAGGGCTGGGGGAGGCTGGCCTTCTGTCCCTTTGCCTGTTGACCTCCACCTTTACTGGCCACAGGAGCCCAACCCTGAGGACCCACTGAACAAGGAGGCAGCCGAGGTTCTGCAGAACAACCGGCGGCTGTTTGAGCAGAACGTGCAGCGCTCCATGCGGGGTGGCTACATCGGCTCCACTTACTTTGAACGCTGCCTGAAATAGGGTTGGCGCATACCTGCCCCTGCTAGGGCAACGAGCCCTGGCATCCCCTGCAAATATTTATTGGGGGTTTCAGGTGGGGGGTGTGGGGTGGCCAATGGGGTAATCTCTTCCTTGGCCTTACCTCCCCTCCCTGCCACCTGCCCCTAGTTATTTTTTTTTTTAACCACCACGTGATTAAGGTCGGCGCTGCCTCCCCCGACCCACTCAGCAATGGGAAATGAATTGGCTTGTCTAGCCCCCCTGCTGGGTGCTGTCCAGCCCCCACTCTGGGCTGTGGGGTGGGTGGGCAAGGGGCCTGGGTAGCCGGGCGGGCAACCCACCCCTCCACCACCGGAGGTCCCACCAGGCTATTAAAGGGGAATATCACTGCATGGCCTCTGCCTCTTCCTTTTGTGGGGTGGGAGGGGCACTTGAGGTCCACCAGAGCGCCGAAGCAGGGGGTGGAAAATGTGTGGTCCCCTACAACAAGCTGCCTGGTGCCTGGGGCAGTCTTGGGGGTGGTTGGGATACCAGGCCCTGAGCCTTGCCTTGGGTAGGATGAAGCCCATTATGGAATAAGAAGTGAGGGCAGGATCGAGTGACCAGTGGCTTCCTGGTCTATGTAGGCCGGCATAAAGTAAAGCACACAGCATCTCCAGTTTTGCCCCTTTCTGTCTCAGGTGGGCCCTCCTGCCTAGTGCTGTCCAAGGCCTCAGGCAGAAGTCAAGGTCCCACGGATGAGCTGGGCTTTCAAATGTGACGTAGTATTCCACGCGGATACGCGCTGTGGGACCTCCGGGGTGGCTGCACGGAAGGCGCCCAGAGCTGCGACCCCGGGCCTGGCTCTTAACTCAGGCAGGACTCGAACCTGCGGAACTGCTTGAGACAGTCTGCAGATAAACGGAAGCTGGTGCGCATGCGCACAGATCCCAACTTCTTCCAGTGCGCGTGCGCACGAGCGCTAATGCCACCTCCCAGAATTCCGGGTGCGGGCGGGGCGTGTTACGTCAGGTTGTTTAATCCGGAAACGGCGGCGACGGCAGAGTGAACAGAACCGAGGGGCTGTCGGTGGGTGCGCCGGGTCCTGAATAAGAGAACCGTGACCCGGAAGCGGAAGCAGGTTCCCGTCGCAGCTCCGGTGAGTGGCCCCCGCTGGTCCCGGGCGGGCGTGCGGTTGGTGGCATAGGAGGGTTTCTCTTCGCCCGGGCGCCTCGTGCCTTGCCCCTCCCTAGGACCCTATCGTCATCATCGGGGTGCCCCGCACAGCCTTGCCCTTGTTGTGCAGAGCCCACTGACACTCCCAGGCGCTATTCTTGGTGTACATTGTGCCCCAGCCTCCATCATCCCGTTCTCGGTGTACAGGGTGCCCACAGTACCCCGATCCTTGTTCTCTGCACGCAGGTTCCCTCCTCATTCAGGAGCCCCCAATCCTAATACCACTGTCTTCAGCTTCAGAGGCCCCATATACATCCTGTTCTTGGCACTCAGGGCCTCCAACCATCCTGCCCTCGTGGTTCAGGGTCCCAAATGCCCCAGTGCGCCCACCTGGGCCTGCAGTGGTGGACGACTTTCAGGTCTGGCTGTCCCCATGTTCCTAGCTGTTCCCTTTTAGTCTCTCATTCATGCCTCCTGTCCCTGCTTGCCCCTTCCCATTTTGTCAGCCCCGTGACCCTGCTGTGCCTCTTGCCCTCCTTCTGAGCCCCATGATCTACAACTAGGCCACACATCTGTCCCAGGCCTGCCAGCTGGCTCCTATCATCATGGACCTGTTGTTTGGGCGCCGCCCTCCTGTCCCTGCTTGCCCCTTCCCATTTTGTCAGCCCCGTGACCCTGCTGTGCCTCTTGCTCTCCTTCTGAGCCCCATGATCTACAACTAGGCCACACATCTGTCCCAGGCCTGCCAGCTGGCTCCTATCATCATGGACCTGTTGTTTGGGCGCCGGAAGACGCCAGAGGAGCTGCTGCGGCAGAACCAGCGGGCCCTGAATCGCGCCATGAGGGAGCTGGACCGCGAGCGACAGAAATTAGAAACCCAAGAGAAGAAAATCATTGCAGACATCAAGAAGATGGCCAAACAGGGCCAGATGGTGAGTGCGAGTGGTCGGGAAGGGTGTCACATACCTCAGGCAGGCTATATTGGCAGCGAACCAGACAGGACACCAAAAGACAGGTGCTTTGAGGAAAAGGAGTGAAAATAAGGGTGAGTGAGGCTTCCCTAGTGTAGGGATCTGGAAGGCCACCTCCAAGAAAGTAATATCAGAGCCAACAGTTGAGTGACGAGGAGAGTGAGCCTACTACAGAAGGTTCAGGCAATGTAGGGATCTGGAAGGCCACCTCCAAGAAAGTAATATCAGAGCCAACAGTTGAGTGACGAGAGTGAGCCTACTACAGAAGGTTCAGGCAGGGAGAGTGTCAAGAAAATGGAGCAGTAAATGTTAGATGAGAGCAAGGTTAACCCACAAGAATAAGCTTTGACCAGGAGGCCAGGGAGAAGAGAGAAACAGCCAAAACCACTAGGGAGAGCATGGAGAAACAACAGAGTCTTTGACCATGACAGGGTTATGGCCTGAACATCTGGTCAGAAGAGGTGCCATTTCCCAGGATGGGCAAGGAAGATATTTGGGAAGCAAATCAAAAGATAAGCCTCAGATAGGTTTGTATGATTCTGGATAAAGTGTGAGGTGTAGGCTTGTGTCAGGTTTTTGTCTTTGTCTAGACTGGGGCTAGAACTGGAGAAATGGGTGTTGTAAGTCAAGGGAGTAACTCTAAACATGGAAGAAAAGGATCCTCTAAGGAGGGAGACTTCCTTCCAGCATTTAGGGATCAGTGGTAAGAAGGACCTTACAAAAGAGCCCAGAGTGGTGGCCCAAGGGGCAGGAGGGTGATGTCAGGAGAGAATAGTGGTGACCAGTGGGTTCAGCGACATGGAGGCTTCTGCAGACCTCAAGAGGAACAGGGGCACTATAGCTGGTGGGAGTGCCAACGAAGTATAGGATTGAGCAAAACCCCACTGCCTCATCCTCGATACCCTTGTCTACTCGGCAGGATGCTGTGCGCATCATGGCAAAAGACCTGGTGCGCACCCGGCGCTATGTGCGCAAGTTTGTGTTGATGCGAGCCAACATCCAGGCTGTGTCCCTCAAGATCCAGACGCTCAAGTCTAACAACTCGATGGCACAAGCCATGAAGGGCGTCACCAAGGCCATGGGCACCATGAACCGACAGGTGCGCCTCTCCCAATCTCCCTTCCCGCCCCCACTGACCCACAGAGACCAGACTTACCATCCCCCCATTTCCAGCTTAAACTGCCCCAGATCCAGAAGATCATGATGGAGTTTGAGCGGCAGGCAGAGATCATGGATATGAAAGAAGAGATGATGAATGACGCCATTGATGACGCCATGGGTGATGAGGAGGATGAAGAGGAGAGGTGTGGAGACTGGGTTCTAGGGTGGAGATGTTTGCCTGGCCCTCGCCCATGCATGCGGACCTCACCAAGCTTCTCTTCTCTATTTCGTAGTGATGCTGTTGTGTCCCAGGTCCTAGATGAACTGGGGCTGAGCCTGACAGATGAGCTATCAAGTGAGTTCTCTAAACCCTGGGGGGTCCCATTTCCCACCCAAGACCCAGCCACAGTCCTGAGTTGCTCTCCCTGCATTGCTTCCGAGTTTTCCTAACACCCACTCTCTCTGCAGATCTCCCCTCCACCGGCGGCTCACTCAGTGTGGCTGCTGGTGGGAAGAAAGCAGAGGCCACAGCCTCAGCCCTGGCTGATGCTGATGCAGACCTGGAGGAGAGGTTGAAGAACCTGCGGAGGGACTGACCACCCCCCTGCCACCCCAGGGGGAGGGGGAACAGGTGGATGCTGAGGATGTTTACCATGCTCCTCTGTAATAAAAGATTGGACACTAGTTCCTGAGCCTTTGTGACTATTAGCCTGATGTGGGGCCATGAGCAGGAGTCATGCAGGTAGAGCTTAGTAAGGAGACAGTTGGAATGGGGCCAAGTGCAAGATTTGTTGGGGTTAAGGGACTGGAGTGGACAAGTCAAGCCCACCTGGTACACTGAAGACTTATGGGCTAAAGGTCAGCTGTGGGCCCTGCTCCAGCACCCTTCCCAGTCTCCACTCCTAAGATGGAGGACAGTCGAAGCCAACAGATGGAGGTAGAGATAGCCAGCTTGACTTGGGGATTCCTCTCGGGCTCAACCGGACAGTAGCCAGGAGGCAAATTTAGATCACTGTACAGCCAAGCCACAACAAGTCAAAACAAGGATGATGAACATACTTCTGTGGTTCAGAAACACTATTTGGATTCATTCTGTGAGATATACAATCCCCACCCCCAACCTTATTACAACTTTTTTTTTTTTAAAGATGACCGGTAAAGGGGTCTTAACCCTTGACTTGGTGTCAGTACCATGCTCTCCCAAGTGAGCTAACTGGCCCTCCCTATACAGGGATCTGAACCCGTGGCCCTGGTGTTATCAGCACCGCACTCTCCCAAGTGAGCCATGGGCCAGCCCCTTGTTACAACTACTAACAAGGGCGGGGGCAGGGCGGGAAGACCCATCAGGAGCTTCAGCAAGAACAGGAATGGAATACAACTACATACACATACAGGAGGTTTCAACCCACCCAGCTCGCTGCGGTACCTCCATCTAATGACGACAGATAGCTACAGCTCCAAACCCCAGTAAACACTCAAAGAGTAGCCATCATGAGGTGCACCTGGAGCCTCACCCTTCCTACCCAGGACAAGTGAGCCAGGCCTACTCACCCACAGGGTACCACCTGGACAGCCTCTAGTGTATGCATCCTTCACCCTGTGTGACCCAACATCAGAAAGGCCCAGGAGGGATGCTCTTCTCCACTCCCTGGACACCCAAATAAGCTTAAACAGGCTAAGGACAAGGTCCCCAAGGGCCACCAGTGCTTCAGGAGGGTGAGGAATAGATGCAAGCCGAGACCAGGCCCCGGACCACAGCCCCCACCAGCCAAGGCCTGAGGAACTGGTGAAGTTTTTATTAAATCCACAGAAGTAAAAACCATTATTGTGAGGGACTGGGGAATGGGTCCACCAGGGAGTGGGATTCAGGCCACCAGGGGATGGGGGAGTGGGGATGGGGTGACAGGACAGAAAACAGAGTCTGGCTAGACTGGCCATGGGGGACCCCAGACTCAGGGGCCATCGCCAGAGCCTCCAGACAGCTCCTGGGAACTCAGGCCAGCACCAGGCAGGCTCAGCGGCGGGGGTTCCACCAGCACAGCAGAGAACTTGGTGTCACCGAAGGCCTCGTTCATGCGCGTCTCGAAAAAGCGCTGCAGACCGATGATGGACTGCACATCCGCCTTGTCCTGGACCAGGGAGGAGCACAGTGGGTGGGTGGATGGGTCCTCGCTCTTACACCACCACCTCCCCCTGCCCTTAGCACCCCCATTCGGCAGGCTCACCTCAGTCAACTTGTTGAACTGCTTGAACATGCGGCCCACATCCTGGGCAAACTCCTGAGGGGAACTATAAGGGGGTGACAACTTCTCCTGGAGGCGGGCGCGGATCAGGGTCAGGTCCAGGGTGCCACCAGGCTGGTCCTGCAGGAAGAAACCACACGCATGTTGAGAGTGAGGTTCAATGGCCCCATCTCTCCCCTCTCCCCCATCCTAGGACTCACCAAGGAGAAAGTGGAGTCAGTAGCCAGCTGGTGCAGGGGGCGGCAGGGCTCATGGCAGAAAAGGGCCAGGAGGACGCGCTCACATTTCTACAGAAAGACCAGGGATGTCAGAGCTGCAGGAGAGTGGGAGGGTTAAAGCAGCTGCACAACTCCCCACCTGAGTAGCCCTGGCACTCACTCGCTGGTTGGCTGACGAGAGCTTGGCCACCACTCCAGTGCTGTCAGCACCATCCAGGCTGAGGCTGCCATCCTCCTCCTTCAGGTCAGGGAGCACGTGGCAGAGTGAGCAGCTCCACTCCTCCCTAGGATGAAGAGAGTGAGCTGCTGCACAGGACTCTACCCAGCCCTCCATGCCATACCCAGACACCACCCAGGCCCCACCCAGCATCACACACACCCTGGCACATCTTGCAGGGCAGGCAGGTGGCAGTCGAGGTGAAAGCAAAACTCGCATTGGTTGCACATGACCAGATCGCCTGGCTTCTGGCAGACACGGCAAATGGTGGCACTGTCATCCAGGGTGCCAGGGCCACCAGTTGGGGCTGAGGTGCCATCAGGAGCCACCACCTCCAGGCCCGAGCTGGTGCTGCCACTGGGTGAGGCCAGGCGGGGGCCCTCAGCACCAGGACCCTCTGCTAGAGCCATCAGCACAGGCTTGGTCTCAGGCCCCTCAGCAGCAGCTGGAGGGGCTCCAATGGCAGCCTCCGTCTCCTCCTCCTGCAAGGTGGTAAGAGGTGTCCAAGAGGGTCCAAACCTGAGTGGCAAGTGTCATCCTACAGTCACGGTCCCTTGCTCACCTTGACGATTGCCATGCCAGGCAAGGGCGGGGCACCAGGAGCTCCTGGGGGTGCCGTCCCAGGCTGGCCAGCAGCCGCAGCCGCAGCCCCACGCTCAATAACAATGAGGTTGTAGTCCTCAGTGGTGCTACCAGGGAAGACTTTGAAGACGGGCGGCTGGCTATCAGCTGTGAGGTCCAGGTCCAGGCGTTCAAGGCTCACCCGTGGCACCTTGCGCATGAGGCCACTCACCTCACCCTCACTGGAGCGGGACCTATAGGTGCAGCCTGGTGTGAGCCCCCATCCATCCCCAGACCCACCATCCCAGGGAATTGCAACACTCACCGCTTCACACCTGACACATGGGGCTCTGCACTTGAGTAGGGATCATCTGCTCAAAAGATTAAAAAAGAAAGAAACAGCAGGTTGCAGTGGACACAGGGCACTGGTGCCCTTCTGCTCACCTGCCAGGCAGACCCAGTTACCTGACCCAAAGCCATAGCCTTCCTGCACCTCCATGGGCTGCAAACAGAGCAGAACAGGTGGATCTTAGAGGGGAAAGTATCCTGCGGGACCCAGTCCCCTGCCCTTCCCTGGGTCCTCTCCCCTGCTCACCTGGCTGCTGCCAGAGCCCTGCTTGCTCAAGGGCCCTGGGGCTCTGGGAGGGGCCATAGGCGCAGGGCCTGTTGAATTGGTGCCGGGACGTTCTGCCACAATCTTGCCTGCAGAAAGGAAAGAAACAATTAAGTGCATAAGTACACACTCCTGGAGAAGTAACAAGATAGTGCAGGGACAAGACTAGGACCCACCGAAGGCCTCAGCACTCTTGGTCCAGGCATTGAGGTCCCACTGAAACTTCATCTCACCATGTGGTTCCACGGGATCCACAATCATCTTCAGGGCCCGGTGTAGCTGGAAGTAGATCGGGGGGGGGGGGGGGGGCACATAAGCATACATGGCAATGAATACGGCTCGAGGGTGCTGTGCTGGGGGTCACCTGCCTGGAGCCTACCACCTGGGGGCCCACCAGCACACACCAGCTTCTTAGAAAGCAATAGGGCTGTGTTATTGTCGCTCTCCAGAGCCCAAGAAGCGAAGCGCAGGATGTGCTCCTGGTGCTTCTGGATCTTGGTCATGGTCCAGTGCTGCCGCTCTAGGCGCTCCTGCTGCCCCTCCGTCACCTTCTGCAGGTGGAGAGGAGATGAGGTCAGCGGGGAGAGCACTAGGATCCTTCTCCACCGTGGTCAGGACCAACAGCCAGAAGAGGGGGCCCAGGGACCCTCCTCCCTGTACAAAGCTTACCTGGGCATCATTGACCAATACACGGCCCCGCTTGTTCAGCTCCTTCATGATCTGTAGGATGGCCATCTTGACATCCACCTGCACACGCTTCTGTACATCAGACACCTGGCGGATCCTAGAGGAAAGATAGGTCAGACCAGGCAGGGTCTCACCAAACTGCTAACGCCCACAGCCCTGGCATCCACACTTACGAGCTGCGAACCTCCTTGGTGCTCTTCTGCAATGTTGCATGCTTGTCCCCAAGGCGCTTCACCAGTGAGGCCAGGAGCTTGCGCTGGTTCCTCACTGCATCCTCCAGGAACTGGTACCTGAGAGAAGAGACATGTGGGCCTGGGCATTGAGCCCAGGAATGAGTGGCACCCACCCTCCCACTGTGCTTTGGGACTCACTGGTGGTCCTTGTGGGCATTGAGCTGACAGTCCCGGCAGGTGAGGGTGTCACAGCTCTCACAGAACAGCACGAGGGGTTCATGCTTGTGCACGTTGCAATAGACAGTTCGTTCACCATCCCGAGACTTGGCAGGCCCTAGGCAGCAGGAACCATGAGGCTAGACCTTTTCCTCAGCCACCTCCAACTCCGGCAGCACAAAGAGCTTGGGGCCTCATTTCCTGCCTGTCCTGCCACCCTGGGCCAACTATTGTAAAGACTTAAGAGGGCCTGTGGCAATGGCTGGGAAGGAACACAGGCCTGCAAGCCCAGCTCCTTACTCCCAGAACCCTTTGCCCCAACCTGGCTAAGAGAAACCACACCCTTCCTTTCAGCTTCTGGGAGTGATAACATAAAGGGTACGGATGACAGCTTCTGGCAAAAGAGGACCAACCCCTGCTGTTCCCTCTACTGAAAACTTCTCCAGATGGGACACAAAGACTTCTGTCTACATGCCATGCTCCATTTGACTCCCTTTCTCCTCTGTTCATGGTAACCTGCTCTTTTTTTTCCCTGATGGGAGAATGCCAAGATCCCTTATAACCCATATGGGCAAACAAGGGAGCCTTGCAGAGCTTTTTCACACTAGGAGAGGCCAAACCAAGATCCTTAGAATGGTGTCAGGATCCCTATCTGGGGCAGAATCCTGGTGCTCAGAGTAATGCCACCTCAAGTCAAAATACCAGTAACCCCCAGAACCTGTCTACCCATTAGAAATCAGATTGGGCACACTGGTC